ACGGAACGGATATGCGGATAAAATACGGAACGGATGAGGATAACATGCGTCTTTTAATGATGTAACGACGTAGTGCTTATTATTCATAACATATCTTATACAGCTATTTCAATTATAGTTTATTAGATAAATTTAGCATAGCAGTAGCCTCGTGGGGATGCTTTCAGCGACAGCTGCAAATGCAAATGAAAATTTAGAATATGCAAAATTTGGTTGTTGGTGACACAATAAATAGACGAATTGCATCAGTTTCACAAGGCACGTTTCTGATGTGTTAGGCTTGTTTCAAACGTCACGCTACTCGTGTGCCGAGCGTATTAAAAGCAATAAATAATGGGATGAAATGCCTTTGGTAACTGTTTATTTCGTAGTGTAAGCCATCAAGCTTTTCTAGGTTGTCGGCGACCCTATATAGTTCTTGCAGTGTCTTTTTAAATTTGAAACTTCACACTATCCTTGGATCCCTAGTTTATATTTCAATGATATGAATAATTTGAATATAAACTCTTTAAAAAAAGTTTAAATAGATGACTACCAGGAACTGCCGGACATGTAGTCACTTTGTTAAATCTTGGCTGTCAAATGATCACAAAACATACTGCTTTTATTAGTAAACAGCTGTTTCTACCATACTTCAACAACACAATGCAAATTATGTATTATGTTGAAACATTTGAAGTTTACTTGTTTACAATTAACAAGCAGGTTTAGTACTGTATCAAACATGTTTTAATTCACTAATCTGGTCAAATATTGCATTCATCACCCAACCTTTCGACACGTCAGCTAGTGTCGTCATTAGGGGTGATTATAATCAAGGGATGACATCATCACTTCTCCTTGTTGGCTGATGCTTTATCATTCAGTATACAAGGAACTGTGGTGCAACTTTAGCAGACCTTCCAAGTTCCAACTCTCAAACGTATAGCGCAAGACACATGTGTATTTGACCCTCACATAATTTATAATACTACATTTTCCCATGCATTTCCATATAAAATCTTTATTATGTTTCTCAGGCATTTCATTAAATGAGTGGCTATAAGAGAACAGTCATATTTTTAGACCTTTTGCTTTTCTTTTTGCCATTTAAAATAGTTATGCATGTGGCCCACTGAGTGGCAACACTCTCCCCTCGACAAGTAAAATTGTCTGGCTTTGGACAGAGTAAAATAATAAAGTAGGGCTTGTCAAGATGCATTGCCTCTTAAAAGGTTAACAGGATGCATTGGCAGAAACTGTGATTAACCTGGGCACTGAGTGGCAGCACTCTCCCCTTGGTTACTTGATAAGTAAAATCACCTGGCATTAGACAGTGAGAGTAAAATAATAAAGTAGATCTCATTAGGGTGTGTTGCTACTTGAGAGGTTAAATTAACTGGAGTATTGAGGAAAACATTTCCGTCAAAGTGAAAAACATGTGCAAATTACTGCCTTCCAGGCCAAATAAAAATAATAGTTGGTTTCAGGTTTCCGACCGACCTGTCAGAAATATGACCGACAATAAGCATTTTATTGACATTTAAACGTTTAGACTGAACATCGGTTGGCATTAAATATTTAGTTGTTGCTGCTTTCCTTGCATGTCATTTTATATGTTTGCAGGTGAAAACCTGATGTAAAAACAATAAAAACTAACAGTTTATAATGAGTTTTAACTTATATTTATTGCATACTTGAGATAAAATATTTTTTTTAAATAAAATGTTTTCCCGACCTACCTACCCATATAAAACATGGCTGTGAAACCTGAAACCAACTATTATTTTTATTTGGCCCCAGGTTTTATTGTTACCAGTCCAGAACATACTCCAGTTAAATGCCTGTTCAAGATTGTCAGCTGTTCAAAATGCTTGGTAGTAAACAGTCCATGTGACAGGCTTACTACCAATGAGATACTAGAAAAAGTCATTTTTGTTGTATAATAGAGTTGTATGACAGTTCTTCATCTATTTTTAGGCAGGAATCATGCTTTTTTTAGCAAGCTTATCTCCTTCAATAAGACATGTTGGGGCCGTTTCCAAAAGGTACTGCAGTATATTGTTATAATTACCAGGGCGTCGGCACAGATGAGGTAGATACAGATGTGAATCTCACGGCAAATTATGTCACACTGATTAAATAAACTTTAAAATTGTATTAATTCACTATTTTATTAAATTTTGATAATGCAGAGAAATAAAACTATACATATTATAGAAGTATTCATGTTTTTTTTATGCCAGAGTTATGTTTTGAGGAATTTATATCATTCGCTGTTTTGTTATTATACATGAGCATCTGAAATTCCCAGCAAGTGTATTTCACGATTTTAATAAGGAATAGATAGGGAAAAAACAAACTTTTGCTAAATAAAATGTTATGTTAACACTTTTAATAAAAAGAAATCAATAAAAGTGATCGCTTACCGATACTCTTGAAGAATTAATTCCAAAAATAGCCGCCGGTAGCGTAGATTTTTTAAAAAAACAATTTTTCGTCTTTCGAACGGCGTTTTCCTATCTCTTTCCTTATTAAATTTCAGAACGACACTTGCCAGCGCTCGCCGGAAGTGAGAATTCCGTGTGACACAAAACAATCAGCAATTTGACGGAAGATTCACATCTGTATCTACCTCATCTGTGGCGTCGGAGTGGCTCTAAAGTGGGGGGGGGGACACTTAGCCCGGGGGCATGTACAATATCTGATTACACTACAGATATACAGTATCAGATACAACATGGCTGCTCATGTTGTAAATAGTACGTAAATATGGTATACCCCCTATAATGAATCTCTCCATCATGAGTAAGTGAGTTTGCCTGCTGTTAAAAAGTGTAAAAGATGAAAATGAAGCATATTGCTCCAAGTAGTAGATGCATGGGCTTTTTGTAGACAAACGCAAAATTAATTTACATACTTCTCTAGACCTTATAACCAAGAACAGTTGCACAACATGCAACTACCGGTATAGACACTTTGACTGGAATTGAACCTGCGGGGTGTTAGCCAGAAGTAAAAAAAAATCTGTGTTTACCTGAAATTGGGAAATTTATTTTAGCCTAAGCCGGGCATTTCTTTGTGGGTCTGGGGGGCATGCGGGGGCATTGTGGTCTGTTATTAGATGTGAAAAAAATAATTGAATTTCTATAACTATTTTTTGGCTGACCCAAATTGGGAAATTGCGACCTCAAGGTAATTGGGAAAACCGTGTTTAACACAGAATTTTTGACTGTAGCTAACACCCTGACCTGTGGCCCACAACTCAAACACTGACTCCAACCAACTGAGCTCCAACCAAAAATCCCCATAACCATTAATGCAAGACATCCCTTCACAAATATAGAAAATACATACTGTATATCCGATCTGTATAATGTACAAATTTGTGAAGCATCTATTAATTACCTTACGTTGCTCCATTTTAATTTTGTAGGATTTTGCCAATTTTGTGTTGTCGTAACAACCAACTGAGCTCCAACCAAAAATCCCCATAACCATTAATGCAAGACATCCCTTCACAAATATAGAAAATACATACTGTATATCCGAT